TATTACTATAAAACTTGGAACTAGTGGAAATAAACTATTCTGAAACAAGCATCAAAGAAATAAGCTTGTATCATATCCCAATTTTGTTTTTCCTATATATGACTATCCATAACAACAAAACAAATGTATGAAAAGATGCGTTGTATAAATTTGAACATTTATATATATATTTAACTGTCTCGCGATATTTAAAAGCTTGTGGATCATGATGAAAGTTCTGTTCCCCTAGTAGAAATTCATTGGTTTGATCAGCAGCAAGATTTTTTTGGCCTTTCAACATCTGATTCTAACGATAAAACTGTATCTTCTGCTGTCATAGAGATCGCGTTACATCGTTGAAGCATGTGACTGATCAATAATCTGAATATATTTAAACGAGGTAAAGTTTATGTGATGAACAAAGTGAAATTTTCCATGATTGTTGTCAAAAATGCAATTTCAGAAATGACATAAAATGTTCATTGCAGAATATTCACTGTATGATCGAATGAATATTATGAATTTTTAACTGAAAAAGGGGGAATAAAATGCATTATCTTGTACATTAACATTTGAGAACTAAGATTAGACAATAGTATAAGATATAGACGTAATATATCTTTAACTTGCTCATGAACTAACTAATTTTGCCAACAAACTTAGCAATTCAGTTATTTAACAAATGCAACGGGGTAACAACGTATGATATTGAAATATACATACTTCATTGCCTCTTCTATTCCTTCATTATTTTTTACAGAACACAGTTTCCAGCCCACAAAACCATTGTCTTTTGCAAATCTATCAATATATTGATCTGATATTTGTCTCTCATTTTTGAGGTCACTCTTTTAAAGAAAATCGATGTCTTAATTAGTCACATCTCAACCTGCATAGGCTATAGTTAGATATTCTTTCAAATCGCTCTGAAAACGATTTTTTTTTTCACTTTTTTCTTAATAATATCTTTTGAAATTTGAAACGCCAAACTGTGATAAAGAAAGGCATGCGTCATAAATGCTGTGTTTTAGATTAGAATTGAATACAGTAGACTTGACCTCGATGTAAAGTGAACTTCGTATTAATAATTTGAAATCAAAGTGGAATTTGCAGCAGTGTTGCTCGATAGCTAACAAGTCATTGAAATTATATTCCTTACTTTGTTTGCCAGTAGAAGACATGGAATCGGATTTTGATCTGCTAAAAAAACTTTTGCGTTGAGATCTTGCTTCCATAGCGTGCAGTTTTGAAATGATTTAGGGTCAGTGATATCAAACATTAGAACACATGCAGATGCCCCCTTGTAATATACTCGTGTCAAAGAATTACCTTGTTCTTGTCCTATCATGGTATAATACCGAAAAGAGATATGTCAAAAAGGAATATTATACTGTGTAGCGTGAGAGAAAGGCGTGCATCGGTATTTTTACGACAAGGTTTAGGAGCACAGACTTTACTAAAAAGACCATTAAACAAGTCATACATACAAGAGCAGTCGAGCAATACAGAATAAAAAGTGCCCCTCCCCTTTATTTAGAATGGAACAAAAAAAAATAAAGATAAAATATTGGGTACCATATGGCTTCTGAAATATAATAAAAGTAATAGTCTTCATAGCGACTTCCACCATCTTTAAGTACTAGAAATTTAAAAATCGATTTTTTTTTCTCAACAACAACAAGTATTTAGCAAAAAATCTACATTTACAATTCGTGACCAATATCATAATTGATATTCATTTTCTGAGATAAGAATGATATGGGGCAAAGTAATTGCAATATGATCATCGCAAAACCCAATTGTCTATCATATTATATAATATCCTCAATATTTGCGATTAGTGATACGAAAAAAAGTCATGTGAAGATCGTTCAGGAGGCAAAGATCGTGGCATTAAATTATCAGAATTACAGATACCGTATATATAAAAGTATCATTTCTACTTAGCATCCAGATCCTATTATTCTTTGATATGTTTTGATAAAACGACTAACCTGCAATATCCCATAGGTGCAGTTTCAATGAATTGCCGTCATCAAGTTTAAGAGTTTTCATCGAGAAGTCGACTAAACAAAATAAAAGTTGAACATTTGTGATGAAGTGGGTCGTTTTAAGCTCGAACAAGGTACCGTAATTTAAATTTTTACGTTAAACTTATGAAATTCAATCGAAGCATGATTGAATGTCTATTTCGTTCATTATCATAGATATAATTTAACGGTGTGTGATAATATGTAAGTTACATCATTCCAATAGTACCAGGAGTATGAAAGAAAACTACCCAGCGTACAGATTAGCAAAGCTTATTTGTAAATGAATATTTCTCGGCTTCTTGACTCTTATAAACTTAGTTAAAAGTCTCATTCGACTTCAGTGGATTAAGCGCCAATTTCAAGGGTTCAAACTCCCCGGATTTAATAGCGTCAAGTCTTTGTTTCTTCGTCGCCGTATATGTGTTTGGATGAATTGTTGTTGTAGTTTAGTCAATATATTATTGATAAAAGTAGTAATCATTGATTTCGTCTTTAGAAACAGCAGACAAAACAGGCAACATGAAATTGGCAGAAAAATGAGGAAGGTAAGCAAAACTTAGAATATGGTTTTAGACAAACTGATAAATGCGCGCTCGTCCACAGAGCAATACAAACAACAAAAAACACCAATGTGTTTCAGTACCTTCAACTTAGCCTTAGATAAATCGTTGTTACAGCAGACACCAGTCAGGCTTGGTAAAAGCTGCAACTACTGGCTATTAGGCTGAAATGGATCCAACGGTTTTTCACCGTTGTTAATATATAAAATATTCAATTCTATTCCAGAATCCAAACTCAGAGTTGAGCGCTTCACTAAAAAGCTCTTCGACGAAAATCAGTTACTAGATTTCTAGATGGACCCGTATACGCATTCTAATGAAAAGGTATAATGCGAATGAATTGCATATATATTTTAAGTGTGCAGTTACAATAAACTGAATTGTAAATATTCACTACCTACCTCCGAGAGTCGATTTATATGGTTCTTTGAATGTATTATTAACAAAGCGGCGAACAAAGGAAGTCTTTCCGACCGCCAGATCGCCAATCAACAGAACCTTATACATGATTTATGGTTTATGCCATTAAATGATAACACTGGAAAGAAACCTATAGTATAATAACCCATCAACAGAACAAAGTGCTGTTCATCTATTCCTAAGTTTTTCAATTTGTCATTCATTATATAACAAAACAATCAGCTGGGAAGGTGAAACAAGATCTGTCAGTTCGGACCTGATAGTTAACAAACAGGGAAAAAACCTCCGATATGCAACCTTTGGACATGAGAAGAAAAAACATGTCTAATAATATCGGTTTATACGTTCCTGACAGAAGGCACGTTGTTAATATTGCATAGTTATTACATGCATGTGACTGACATACAATAAATAAAAAGAATGACAAAATGTTACCCAGAACCTAATTGTATCAGTTGCAGAACAAGTAACACATATTGCATATAACCTTGTAGTAACTTTCACAGAGTGGTTTGGGTCATATCGCCATTGTTTTTTTTTAAGTAGGAGGGGTTCTAGTTTGGGAGATGCCCTAAAAATAAACTGTTTTGGTAACAAGAATTAATTATTATTCAAAATCCCTTTATTAAATTTATCCTGTATTGTTTGCATGATTCAAGATTAAAGTCGTCGTGTAAGACAAACTCCATGTTTTCTGAATGTCTGTTCATCCCACTACAACTAGCACCTACACAAAAATATTTATTGTCTACTTCATAGCAAATGTCTACTCTGGATATTCTATATTTCCTCACAACGATTTCAAAAATGCTTCGTACTTTTCACTAGACAACTCAAGTATACAAGGGCATTTTGTCCGAATCCACAATCCACATCATATCAAATGGAACAGATTTACTGTAGCTGTTTGACTTGAGTTCGATACACTAATTTTTGTTTACTCCCAATTTTCAAGTGCAGGTGCTGCAACTGTGTAAATGATTAGCTATAGCGTGATGTAATAAGCAAAAATATGTATAAATATTTGCTATTGTGTATCTCTTATCCGTCACATCTTTTTGTGGGCTTACCATACGTCCCGGCTTAGCCTACTTAGAAAAGTAATTGCCCACCCCTGAAATAAAGATTTTCGTCCGTTTGTACGTACTAGGTACAGTATTTGTCATATTTAATTCGTACTAACAACGCTAGTTTTTGAAATACTATGGAGATGCCTAATCGAAAGAAGGGTGATGAGTATCGTACATTTCAACTTGTGCTACTTGTGAGCAGCCGTTCAAGACCGCAGCGACAACATGCAGCATCAGACGTCACATTAAATGTATATTGACATCGTATGTGTTGACTTTTGAGTAAAAATTTCAGGTCTGATTAAGTAAAGAAATGCTATATGGCTCGCACGGAAATGCAGTTGATAATATGTGTCTTTTATGGCTTCCTTGACCAAAAAGGTTCTCTGCTTGACCCCTGCTTTAGTCTAAGTGGATTCAAAAAATATGCGTCTCGGTTTCTTTTAAAACGCAACAACGCAACAAATATTTTCTAAAATAAGATTAAGTGCAAAATAAGCATTGAATACAGCCTATAAGTTACTTTAAACCAAAGCGTATTGTAATGAATAAGGACAATCAGTCAATCAAAGAAAAGGAGGAAATTGCATGCTACTGAATGCAAAAAATGTGAATTATCATGTATGACCAGAGTTGAGTTGACGGAACTCTGGTATACATTTAACTGATATTGTTATTGCAAGTTTCTGAGCTTGTTTAGGATTACAAATTTTGAAGCGAATCGCGAAAAGGGGTATTAATTTTGAATTTCCGTGTAACGAAATATAATTTTTACTGGAAAATGGGATCGAATGGTAGGAGAAATAACCCGTCATTAGAAATTCATGACAAGAAAGGTAAATTAATGTGTTGGAGAATTACTTAAAAAAATAACGAAAGATTCTTTTTGTTTATTGAAAAGACAAGTATTGGGTTGTTTGTTGCTATATTGCTGCTCATATTGCTAGGACTTAGAACTAGTAAAATAGAACTACTCTGCAACAAGCATCAAAGAAATAAGATTGTACCATATCTAAATTTTGTTTTTCCTATATATGACTATCCATAACAATAAAACAAATGTATGAAAAGATGCATTGTATAAATTTGAACATGTTTATATATATTTAACTGTCTCGCGATATTTGAAAGATTGTGGATCATGATGAAAGTTCTGTTCCTCTAGTAGAAATTCATTGGCTTGATCAGCAGCAAGATTTTTTTGGCTTTTCGACATCTGATTCTAACGATAAAACTGTATTTTCTGCTGTCATAGAGATCGCATTACATCGTTGGAGCATGTGACTGATCAATAATCTGAATATATTTTAACGAAGTAGAGTTTATGTAATAAACAAAGTGAAATTTTCTATGTTTTTTTTTCAATAATTCCATTTCAGGAATGACAAATAATATGCATTGCAGAATAGTTATTGCATGGGTTGTATGAATGTTAGAAATATTTTGTAAATATCTGAATTCAACGAGTTTATTAATAAAAGTTAAAAAAAAGAATTATTTTGCATATTAATATTTAAGTACTAAGATTCGACAATAGTAAGATATAGACGTAATCTATCTTTAATTTGCTAATGAACTAAGTGATTTAGACGACAAACTTAGCTATCAATTACCAATGGAGAGACTTATGTTATAGAAATATACATACTTCATTCCTTCTTGCAGTCCTTCATTATTTTTTACAGAACACAGTTTCCAGCCCACAAAATCATTGTCTTTTGCAAATCTATCAATATATTGATCTGATATTTGTCTCTCATTTTTGAGGTCACTCTTTTAATTAAAAGAATATTCGATGTCTTAATTAGTCACGTCTTAAACTGCATATAGGTAAAAGTCATTTTAACTCGCTTTGAAAAGCGATTTCTTTCACTTTTTTTTAATACTATCGGTCGAAATTTAGACCGCCAAACTGTGATAAACAGGCGGCGTCATAAATGCGGTGTTCTAAATTAGAAGTGAATACAGTAGACTTGACCACACTATAAAGTGAATTTGCTGTGTATTACTATGTTTTATGTAGACAATTCAGAATGTCTAAAAGTTATCACTTCCAATTTTGTCCGATTATTTGATGTTGAAATATTGTTTTTAAGACCACAGAAGTGCATCAAATCATTATAAAATAAGAATATCTTATATTAACCAATTAAAATCAAACTTGAATTTGCACCAGTGTTGCTCAATTACTGGCATGTCACTCCTTACTTTATTTGCTAGTAGAAGACATGGAATCGAATTTTGATCTGCTAAAAACACTTTTGCGTCGAGATCTTGCTTCCATAGCGTGCAGTTTTGGAATGTTTTAGGGTCAGTGATATCGAACATTAGAACACATGCAGATGCGCCCTTGAAATATACTCGTGTCATAGAAGTAAATCCTTCTTGCCCTGTCAAAAATGGAATATTATACTGCGTAGCGTTTGATATCATAATGGTATGGAAATGGTAAAATGTTGATGATTAGTATTGTTTTATCTGGAGTACTCGTTTAAACTGGGTTCATATTTTATTGGTTGGGGTAGGATAGAGGGGTAGGATAACAATTCAGCAATGCTCAAATAATGGACAAGTAGGTCGTGAATTGGTATTGTTGCGTAAAAATGAATTGAAGAACAAAAAATGATTAAAAATCGGGTCCCATACGGCTCGTAAAGTACATTAAAAGTTATAGCTTTCAAGCTTCTTCTTCCGACTTTAAGGACTGAAAAATTGAAGAAAAAGGTTGATGCATTAGTTGCAAAGAAAATCAATTTTTCCCCAATAACAGGAATTTAGCAAAAAAAAATCTACATGTACGATTCGTCTGCAATAATTGATATATATTCTTTATTTTTTATTTTCTGAGATAAGAGTGATATACTACAAAGAATTGTTATATGAACTTTGCAAAAACCAAATTTTCCGTCTATATACAGGGTGTCTCAAAAGTAAGTATACACTTTTAATTTTCATTTGCTTTTCATGTACTTATCATAGAGCGTTCATTTCTTCAGAAAACATAGTATGGATAAGTAGTAGCATTTAGGTATTGAGGTATTGTTTGCATTTTTCATCAACCCACAGTATTTTTTCTTTAACCTATAACAGTTTTGGTCAAACGACTAACCTGCAATATCCCATATTTGCAGTTTTAATGAATTGCCGTCTTCAAGTTTGAGAGTTTTCAACGCGAAATCGACTAAACAGAATAAACGTTAAACATTTGTGGTTAAGTGGGTCGTTTTAGGCTCTATCAAGATAATTAAAGTTTTTACGTTGAACTCTCTAAATCCAATCAAAGCATGATTGAATGTCTATTTTGCTCAGAATTATAGATAATGTAACAATTTTTGATAATACGTAGGTTAAATCATTTTAATACCACCAGGATCATGAAAGAAAACTATCTAGTGTACAGAATATTAGAGTCAAAACGCTTATTTATAAATGCTTATTTCTTTGCTTCCGACATCTAAAAAACTTAGTTAAAAGTCTCATTCGACCCCAGTGGTCTAAGCGCCAATTCCAAGATTTAATAGCGTCAAGTCTTTTTTTCTTCGTCGCCGTATATGTATTTGGATGAATTGTTGTTGTAGTTTGGGCAATAAATTACTGATAAAAGTAGTAATCATTGAATTCGTCTTAAGAAACAGCAGACAAAACAGGCAACATGAAATTAGCAGAAAAATGAGGAAGATAAGCGAAACTTAGAATATGGTTTAAGACAAACTGATAAATGCACGCTCGTCCACAGAGCAATACAAACAAACAAAAAACACCAATGTGTTTCAGTACCTTCAACTTAGCCTTAGATAAATCGTTGTTACAGCAGACACCAGTCAGGCTTGGTAAAAGCTGCAACTACTGGCTATTAGGCTGAAATGGATCCAACGGTTTTTCACCGTTGTTAATATATAAAGGTTCAATTCCATTCCAGAATCCAATCTCAGAGTTGAGCGCTTCACTAAAAAGCTCTTCGACGAAAATCAATTACTAGATTTCTAGATGGGCCCGTATACGCATTCCAATGAAAAGGAATAATGCGAATGAATTGCATATATATTGTAAGTGTGCAATTACAATAAACGGAATTGTAAACATTCACTACCTACCTCCGAGAGTCGCTTTATAGTTTTCTTGGAATGTATTATTAACAAAGCGATGAACAAAGCAAGTTTTTCCGACCGCCGGATCGCCAATCAAAAGAACCTTATACATGATTTCATGTCATTAAATGATAACACTTAAAAATAAACTATTATATATAAATAGATCAAAGTGCTGTTCATCTATTCTCATATTTTCAATTTGTCATTTATTAGGATAGGATAGGATAGGATTTACATATTTATCCCGGGGGAGAGGAAAGCCGATAAGACGGCTTATCCATATGGCGAACCACGGCCTCTCGTCCGGTTACCATTCCAAGTCGGGTATGGGATTAGTTTTTTACTGTATTGTTTGTTTTCGGAAGCATGGACTTGGTGGTGGAGGAAGCCGTAACCGACCAGCGGTTACGTGAACCACCCAACGACGGCGAGGAGTCCAGCAATCCTCTCGCACATAACCACCCCTGCATGGGATTCGAACCTGCGAACCCACGCAGAGTAATTAGAGGTGCGGTGGCGAGCGTATTCCTAACGCTTAGCCCGTTGAGCCACACCGCCGCGCCTTACATATTACATAACAAAGTAAGCAGATGGAAAGGTGAATGAAATGAGCGTAGACGAAAACAGGTCTGACAGTTCGGAGCTGTTAGTTAACAAACCGTAAAAAAATCTTCAGATATGCAACCTTCGGATATGAAAAAATTCATATCTAATAATTTCGGTATATACGCCTTTACAAAGAGCACGTTATTATTGTCTTGTTATTAAATACTACGGCATGTGACTGACATATATACAATAGAAAAAAACAACGACAAAATGTTACCAAAAATCTGATTGTATCCGTTGCAGAACAAGCAACACATATAGCATATAACCTTGTAGTAACTTTCACAGAGTGGTTATTAGTTTATATTGCAATTGTTTTTCTGCGCATGAGGGAGATTCTCATTTGGAAGATGCACAAACAATAAACTGGTATGGTAACAAAAAAGTGAGAATTGGTATTTGAAATCCCATTATTAAATTTATTCGGCACAGTTTGAATGATCCAAGAAGTCGATTTTTAAGAAAAATTAAACTCTATGTTTTCAAGTTATTGCAAGTGGCATCGACGCAAAAATATATATTGTCCACTTCAGGGATCACCAAACTATGGCCCGCGGGCAATATCCGGCCCCTGGCGTCCTTTCAAATGGCCCGCAATAAAACGATGCAATGGCGAATTTTTTTCCAAGGGGTGCATCCCCGAGCATCGACTTCCTTGTTCATTTCGTGACATTGGCCAATCAGCAAGATGCAAAGATGCGTAATAATAGACCCTTTCGCATCCACTCAAACACTTTTGTCACTCGGACAGATTTTCAGTCGTGGTTTCAAACAATACCTCGTTTTCGCGATTTTGAATGCTATTCGTTAGTTTTTGGTCGTGATTCCAAAATTTAATTATGAATCGAATAAGTCATTTATCATTTTGCCTTCTTAGAAGTTGTAGCTTAATTGCAGTAATCAAATATTGTCTAGAAATAGCTGTGATAAAATTCTCTACTGTTACGCAACGTTTTCTGCGAAGTGTGCACTCGTGGCGCGTGCTTTCGGCGAAACTGTTGCTGTGTACGTTTCTCGTGCTAAAAGGAAAGGAGAACGTATATTTTGCGCTAGTAGTGCTAGTCACATTAACTTTTGTACTGCTTACATGCAGCTATTCATGACAGCAATTGTTTCGCTAACAGCTAACCTCAGAATAGTTGTCTAGAATTGTTTTGGTATGATGTTCTTGATCTATATTCTGCGATATAGAATTTAATATTCAAGTCTTCATAAATGCAGAATTTATATTGTTGAATCAATTTCCTAACTTTTGAGAATTTATTGTATTATATTAACAAAAATATTTGTCCGGCTCATTTCAACACAGTTTATTTCATACCTGGTCGCAGTCAAAAAAGTTTGGAGACCCCTGGTCTACTTCATAGCAAATATCTACTCTGGATACCCTATACTTCCTCATAACGATTTTTAAAATGCTTCGTACTTTTCACTAAACTCAAATATACAAGGACATTTTGTCTCAATCCACAAAAACACACGATATCAAACGGAAACAGTTTTACTGTAGCTGTTGGACTAGTCACTAGAGTTTGATACACTGATTTTAGTTTACACATAATTTTCAAGTGCAGGTGCTGCAACTGTGTAAATGATTAGCTATAGCGTGATGTTATCAGCAAAATATGTATAAATATTTGCTATTGTATATCTCTTATTCGTCACAAGGGTATCTTTTACTTTCTGGGTCTGCCGTGATGTTTCAGCTCAAGTTTATGATTTTGCCTAATGTAAATAAAAATGTTTACAGTCGGATCATTCTTGTTCATTACAGGGGTATTATAATTTGAGGCCTTTCGTGATCGCTTGATCGGTGATGAATGGTGACCGCATTTCATTGATTACAGAAAATAAAGTGTTAATAATGGCTACCGTAACCTCATGCCACGCGTCTATGGTCAATGTCATTTCCCAGTGCGGTTATGGTTTATCCAGAACAGGATCTTTTGACTGCCTGATTCATTAGAAGTAATAAAACCCGGATATTTTGTACAAAGCCACAATAAAATATAAAAAACGCCACCGCTTAATATAAAAATAGTAATTATCATAACGTCACTTTCAATTAAAAGCGCACGCTCGCCGTAACAATCAATTTTAAACATAGCGCCTCAGATTTCAACAGAAAAAAAATTTCATTTTCGTAAACCAGCACATTCTCGACATTCATTTTGCTTCTTTATTGCACATTAAATGTATATTCTTATCTGAACAAGTTAGTTAGTATATAAAGTGAAATTCGTCGTTACAATTTACATATTAGCCCTTTGTTTAAAACTTTTTTTGATATTCAGAAAATCAAAAATTAGGCTATACAGAATATACTAGACTAGACCATTAATATCACCAATGGGTAAATGTATGAAAATGTATTTCGATCAGCACATCGTGGTGTCGAATATTTTTCCTAAGATTATCAAATTCAAAAGATAAAATGCCATCGTATTTGTACTATTGATTTTTCGAAACTAAGTTAAAATTTAACATTTAATTTATTGCCATTTTTTGACTATAGTGAATTACAATATCATACTCTACTTTTCTTGCCAATTCAAGTTTTCATTTTGATAGTAGGACAACCAGCAATATCAGTAAAATAAGGTTGAAAGCCTAATTCAAAGAGCAATTCACTTTAGGCAATATTCAACAAACTGGGGAAGCTCGCCATAACACGGTAGTCATTACGTAATGCGTAATAATAAATTGAAAAAAAAAATATGTGAGAGAAATATTGCATAAGTTTGTTGACTTTACAAATAACAATAAAACTAAAGGTATTTTAATGTATGCATTCTAATCAAAATCCATTCAAACGATTTGTTTAATAGAATCTCAATCTATACATAAAAATAGAAAGAATAAAAAAAGTTTCACAAAAAAAGTCTACATGGCCTAATTTGCCAGGAAAGCTGGGAAACCCTAAAAGAAATAGATTATGCGTAATGTATTGGGTATTTGTAGGTATTCCCGACAGTAAATGTAAATTAATGTGTGAAAAATCAACTCAAACTGTAAAGGTAATTTACTTCATCTAAAATATATACAATTGTTATGATATATCATAATCCTGGTTAGAACTAGTAAAATTTGATTCAATCTGAGCTGAGTATTGTTAGGAATGAATGGACTTGCATCAATTTCTTTGCTGTTCACTATAATATCCAGCATATCGAGACCAAAACATAAAAAATAAATCAAATTACATAGTTGAAATTTGACTATTTTTATGTATTTGACTGTCTCCTCACATGTTCATTGATTTGATCGGCAGCAAGAATTGCTTCGATTTTCACCGTCGGATTCTAATGATAAAACTGTGTCTTGTGCTGTCATAGTGATCGCTTTGCATCGTTGGAGCATGCGGGTGGTCAAAAATCTGCATATATTTAGAAAAAAAATTAGGTGAAGCGAAATTTTCTATCTGATTTTGATAGAAATTTTTGAAACAAATGACATTCCAGACATGTTTTCGCTATGCATACTAAGTTGACATTATTCATTGAAATATACATACTTCATTCCATCCTCTAGCCCTTCGTTATTTTTTACGGAGCAGAGTTTCCATCCGACAAAATCAGCATCTTTCACAAACCGTTTAATATCTTGATCTGAAACTTTTCTCTCATTTACAAGGTCACTCTTAAAATAAATTTGATGCCTCGATAATAATTTTTTTTTTGCGTTTTATTGCTAGAAATTAACAGTTTATATTAACGGCGGATATTGACAAACTAAGCAAAAACTCGAAATTTAAATTGCTCCACTAAAATATTCGTTGTGTACATGCAAAAACAAAATTTATAATGTGGCCCAACCAGATGTCTGAAGCCGACAAAATATTGTAAATCCCTGTCTTAAATAGGGTTTTGTTTTTTATCAATTGTAAAAAAAACATCGTGTTTTAAAACAAGGGCTTGTTTTAAATCAAATTCTTTCTGTATTTTTTATTGAAATACCCTTTGCATCGCCGCGAAACTACGCCAAAACGTTGCATTCGGGCAGCTGCACACGCAGTCGGAATTATAATTTCAAAAATGTTAATTTTTTAATTTGACTCTTTTTTCTATTGCGTAGATTCATCGCCACGTTTGTATCACCACCAAAGTCATAGGATTAGACCCGGAATGTTTAGCCGAGATATCAGAGAGACGTTTTGAGTAAGAAAAATCATGAAAATTAGCTCACGAGTCCACTACAAAAGCAATTAGAGTGCAGCCCTTCGGCAAAACGAGTGGGTTGAGATAATGAAGAATATGCTTATATCGGCGGTAATCTACTGATATTAACGACGAGACACCCTAGCCTAGCATATGCTAATTGTAGGAGTCCTCTGATGCAAAGACGCCACAACTAATTTGTTATGACGCCATAATATGGATTTCGAGTTCATGTATTGACATTTTCCTCATAAAATGAAGGCATTATTACGGTTAATAGTAATACTGTTCGGGTAATTTATGCTTAGCATACTTTGTTTTTAAGTGTGAAGTGATAGAGTTTTTTAAGGTTCTACACCCTCATTAATTTGATCGCATTTCAATTTTCGCGAGGTTGTTTCATCGCAGCAGGGTCGTTCACATAATGGCTTATCGGTTGCGTCTTACTGCGCCAACCACTGAACGACAGCTTGAGAAGGTGTACATGAGCCTCTATCGATATTCAATGGCGTTTTGAAAGATTTATTGCAAATAAGAAGCGCTTGGCAAGTTTTTACGTCCATTATTTTTCAACCTATTTAATACAAAAAAATCAAATAGTACAGCCATTTTGACAAAGCAGGCAAAAAAAACTTTATTTAAAACAATTGTTTAAATCATTAACTTTTAGATGTATTAAGGCATTTCGAATGAATCCGATTATCTCATGAGCTATTTCAACCATATTTTATGATAACTTTGTATTAACAATTTAAAATCAAATTAATCGTGCCAGCCTTGATTCATATCTAATGAGTTAGTAAATTCTATTCCTTACTTTATTTGCCAGTAGAAGACATGGAATCGGATTTTGATCTGCTAAAAAAACTTTCGCGTCGAGATCTTGCTTCCATTTCGTGCAGCTTTGAAAAGTTTCAGGGTCGGTGACATCAAACATTAAAACACATGCAGATGCTCCCTTGTAATATACTCGTGTCATAGAAGTTGCTCTTTCATGCCCTGCCAAAAATAATCAATATTCAAGTCTAGTATAGGTTGAGCGAGTTGATACGACGCTACCAAATACATTTGCACATGTTTTCAATAAAAAATTGTTGCATTTCCTTTACCTTAAATCCGTTTAGATCCACTGTAATCCCTATTTTCCAAAAATTCGAGCAAGGTGATATGGTAAAGTAATTACAGAGGACCAATGCAATAATTTTGATGTTGATTATTACTTTCTATATGTTTTCGATTAATAAAACTAATAGATTGCCATTATAATGATGCAAAGTTAGTTCTAAACTTGGGAGGCAAAAATCGTGGCCATTATTTATAATTGTAGAAATGAAAGTATCATTTCTACCAGTTTTTGGGGAAATGACTAACCTGCAATATCCCATAGTTGCAGTTTTAGTGCTTGGCCATCACTAAGTTCCAGAGTTTTCAACGCGAAGTCGACTAAACAGAATGATATAGAAAGAACATGAAAAAGGAAAAATATTCAATGAACCTTGGGTCTTTCAAATTTAAAAGTTTGTATTTGAATTCATAAAATCGAATCGAAGCATGACTGAATTCTATTTTGTACTAAATCACAGTGGTTAAATTTTGTTGAGGTAGCAATGAATAATGATGCTGTTTTTTCTTATGAGTGGTAATTTTCATTCTAATTGTAGAGTTAAAGTGTCCATTTTCGCGGAAGGCTGAAAACCACTGTACTAGATCAGTGGTTCGCAACCTGGCGGACCGGTAAAATTAAATGTACTCGCGGACCGGCAAAAAATTGAAATGACCTGAACAGAAAAGAATGACATAGGCTATATTTGCGTGATATACTGCAATGTCGGGCACTCAATGTGCTTCTAGCCAAAAAATTTCCCCCTAAAAACATCTCTCACGAAGAAAACCTATCAAATAATGTGCCGGACAAAAATTGAGATGGGTGAAACATGAAATGATACTATATATTTGCGTAATGAAAAGCAGTGCTGGACACCCGTTATGCTTATGAAAGGCACGCATAAAACATCTCACATAAGAAACATGTATATACTTGCAAAACCGTGTACAAACACAATTAACTCTAGTGAGAATTTTGCTGCCGTTTCTTTTTCAATATAGGATTGCGAACGAGGCCTCAAGGCAGTTTCTGCAACACGTAGCTCTGCAGCGGCGTGCAGCCGATTTCTTTGCTTCGATTTAATTAAAGCTAGTGATGAAAATGTTTTTTCGCATAACGCAGTAACTGGTTGAGAATACGAATAAAAAAAAAAAAGCAGTTAATCGACGCCTCAAACGAAATGAATTTACATTACTATGACAAAGTCGTCGGTAACTTGGCACTAGGCTCAAAATCCTACTGTATCTGCTCAAAATACTGGAAAATATCTTTTTTGTCAGTCTCGTGACCACCTGCAGGGTCGCAACAACTTTTTGGAATATTATATTGTTCATGGCTGTTTTCTGGTTTAAACAAAGAAATGTGCTTAACGTTTTATATGAATGGTCATATTAACCAGGAAAAGCACACAGAACAGAAAAACCACGCGTGCTGATTTTAAGGTTTCTGAATCTTACAAGATTTGATGGAGTGCATTCGCGATGAATCGGAGCCGAGAAAGCGAAAAGTGTGATTACTCGGCGCCAAGATGTCGCGAATGACGTCGCAAAAATGTCGCAATATGACGGAGGAAGAGAAATTGCGTAATAAACCAACGCAACCTCGTCTTCGATAAGGCGATTGAGACGGCATAAAAACAACAAAACAGCGAAATTTTCTAGCGGACCGGCAAAAAAGCTTGGCGACGGTGGTTGGGAACCACTGTACTAGATAATATAGAATTTTGTGATAACATGTGAAACTTAGTAGCATCAAACGTGGGGAAGGAAACTTAGTACATATTGAGAAAACCTAACAGCTTATTTAGCGATGTTGGCATGATTTATAACCAATTAAAAAAAAAAAAAGTTGGGTTATAGATAACGAATCCATGCAACCTTTTTTTTTTTACTTCTTGTCAGCTACGTTTTTTTCGTTGCTTCAAAGCCTTAAACGTATTTTGATTATAAAGGATTGAACAGGTATAGGTTGTTATTTCTACGTAATTTTATTTTCATCTTGCTCTGTGGTTTGAGAGAAATCGTGTTGAAATCTCTGCATAGTTTGCAGTCGAATTGTATTTGCACAACACTCGCAACAAAACAAATATTGTGTTTCGGTGGGTTTAGATTAGACAAAGCTTTGTTAAAGCAGACGCCAATCCGAGTTTAAATGTGTGAGAAAGTTTATCACAAAACAAATTATAAAATCTGTTACGTCATAGCACTAATTTGTGACTTCAGATATTGTATATCTAACGCCTAAACGCCCCCATATTTGAAATTTATATTAGGCAAAGATGAATTTGTCCAATAGTTATAGTGATTGTTCGAGAAAGATTTGATTATATCCTTCAATATTCAAGATCCAATTTTTCAGTCCCTAATAGAAAGTGTCTTCTATCAAGTTTATATATGATTGGATTGAGTTTTGAAGATGGATCCCACACACATTCTAATTGACTGTGCAGGTTTCAAATGAAACATTTCATGCAGGGTGGGTGTAACTACAATGATATGGATTGTAAATATATATTCACTACCTACCTCCAAGAGTCACTTTATAGTTTTCTTTGAATGTGTTATTAACAAAACGATGAACAAAAGAAGTTTTTCCGACTCTGACATCGCCAATCACAAGAACCTTATACATGATTGAACGCTATTGAAAGTAATAAAAAGTAAATTGGAGTATATTATTTGAACAACTTCTTGTTCATCTACTCAAATTTTTAGCTACCGATAAGGAACATGAAACTATCAGGTCTGTCGAATCTGAACTGGTATCAATTACGTAACCTGCGGGACACAATAAACATATCCAGTCCGCTCGGTGCAAACACGCCAGACAAGCTGCACGTACCACGTATATTGTCCGGTTATTATATTTTATAGCATGTGACCGGAATACAAAAAAAAACATATACAATGACGACATGTGACCAATACCCCGACTAGCTATTTGATTTAGCCGTTGCAAGTCAAACAAAACGTATTGCAATAATTCGTTTCGCATACAAAAATACCTATCACAAATATAACCCGGTAACAACTTACACAGAATAGTTGCTGGGTGATAGGTTTAAAAATTTTAAGAACATCTTCTCTTTTTTTTCGAACTCACCAACTACAAGTCCCTTCGTGACGAACTCGTGACAACTTACAAAATAAAAAAGATCGAGTTGGCACGAACCCCCGAATCTCACCACTGGTCGAATCCGAATTGTCGGTCTATGTATATGATGGTTTGTCATTTGGGAAATTGTGCTAGCTTTTTATCCGATAGGACAAAATAGTAAAAAGTTTGTCCATTTTTTAAAATGCTAATATAAATTCATTTCGCGTTTGAATGATACACAATACAGGTAAGTCGGAAACATGAAACCAATTATAACTCCCTCTTTCATGTACGCCTTCACCTATTACATATCTACTTCACTCGAAATACTTTGAAAATCCTATATTATATGATTGGAAATGCTTTTCACTAAGTCCAATCACCTCCCATTACAATATAATTATGCTTATTAATGCATGACTTCATCTACGACTACTAACACAGTATTGCAATACGGGAGAGAATTTACTAAAGCTGTCCAATGCATTAATTTTGTATTTACCTACGATATTTAAATGCAGGCGATGTATGTAAATGATTAATTAGACTTACCTCATTAGCAAATAAAAAATTACATAGCCTGCATCAGGTTCCCACTGGTTCATTACTGGGGTATATTTCGGGACCTCCCGTGATTATTTAGAAATTGATGACCTCATCATAAGGATAATGAAAAACACGGCTGCGTAAACATAGGGCAAACTATCCAGCGTTTTTCGTAAATGTGCAGTGCAGTTATAGCATATTTGATTCGATTCAGACATGTTATGGCAACACACGAACACATATGATAGAAGTATAAGTAATTCAATTTGCAATTAGGTCAAACAAAAGGTCGAATAAAATGATTACAAATGTATTCCGGAAATGATTGAACTCAGCCAAGAAGTGCTCATTGGCAACATTGTCAAAATATGTATATTGAACTTCACTGTCAAGTCCCATGGTTTCTGGACACAAATAAATCTATTATTCATACTGCTACATAACTACATTGTTCAATTTGTTGTTGTTAGGACAAAGCCATCCCTTCTTTCTCATCTCCAGAGACCAATCTCTTTCAGATTTATCATTAGTGAAAAAAAACGTGTGCCTAAAGATCATTGTACAACTTTTACATTTGGCCCTATTTGGAATGAAAAAATCATTCACAGTGATTCTGCTAAGCCAGCCAATGGGATGTTTTGCATTACTTTAATTTCAAATAAATCAAGCGCAGTTTAAAACATTAGAATTTTCAAAAATTCTAGCTGCATACGTCAGGGTACCCCGGTTCGATGTCATATCATCGTTGGTGACGTCTGTTTACTCGGGAAATGAACTTGATAGAGTTTTTAACATTTTACTTAATTCAATTTTGAGGCATTTCCAGTAAGACATAAGTTCATACGCCTTTTCCAACTTCATTTTGCTCTATTCTTAAACGATTTACTAAAGACCGGACGTTTCCTAGCGTGATATCAATAATTCTTTCGCCAAATGAACCAAACGAAGGAAGGATTTACATACTTCTCCCGGGGGGAGAGGAAAGCCGCTATAACGGCTTAATCATATGGCGAACCACGGCCTCTCGTCCGGTTACCGGTTCAGGTCGGGTATGGGATTAGTTAGCCAGTTATTTGTTTTCGGAAGCATGGACTTGATGGTGGAGGAAGCCGTAACCGACCAGCGGTTACGTGAACCACCCTACGGCGGCGAGGAGTCCAGCAATCCTCTCGCACATGATCATCCCCGCATGGGGATAGATAAATGAAAATGCGCGCTTGTGTGCCTTGGATAACTTCGACAGCGAGGTGAGTCTGTAGAGCTATCCCTCTGGCTAATTTTATCTGGCTTTGTTCGGAGCAAATGGCACGAGTGAGTGTCATATTAGGTAAACGAAATAAACTATCTATCTAATTATACAAAGATTGGGCCCCCCTAAACATTTTGGATTGGCTAAGCTCGTGCAGGTATAAGATATTGACGTAACATTCCTTCACTTCTTTTGCCCCGATTAATTACATACTTTTTTGCTTTCATCAACACTTTGGATAAAGCTCACAAAATGCCGAATACTGGAAGAATACGTTGCTGTTTACACCGGTTGCCTATTTGAAAAATGAGAACAAATTAATGTACAGTTTATGAGCATGTTCAATTGAAGGATCAAACTAACCAAAAAAAACTCTTTTTGACTCCAGAAAAGCCGGATTATCAGAACAGGGATGTCCAATACGAATTTAATATTCGAATATCGTTTTTTGTGTTCATAAGAATACCGAATATGGCGCACACATTCTAATCTAGCGCAAATTATTAGTTAACCATATTATAACCTTATTGCAAAAAGCATGGGTGAATCGCGTCGCCATCTTGAAGTTTTGCTGTTCTAGTTACAAGTTGCTACTCTATTGAGATTTATTTTGCGTTCAACTACCGTAAGGTGTCTATTTTTGCGTACACATATGTAAGTAAGATAGGTACAAGTGGACCTATGTTCATTTTGCGACTACCCTGTTCGTTCTGGGCGAAAGCCTGAATGTATTGCCGACAGGCCGAAGCATGATCCTATTTAACCGTCATAAACCATATCCACTATCTTAACTCTGACAACAAAAATCAGAAATATTTGCATTTTACTTTTGACTATAAATATTATTTTGAGGACTTTACAGAAGGACTGGGTATGTTGTAGTGGTGGGAGCAAAAGTGTGGTAAAAGGAGTCAGTGCACCAGAACTCACTTTTTAACACCTCAAAGCCCACCCAGTATAAAAATGCGAGAAGATCATAATAAGAATAATAATAACAATAGGAAGAATAATAAGAATAAAACTTCCAAGTTTGGAAACACTTCATATAAGTCAATAAAATGCAATTTGCTGTTCACAGCGCAGGAAAAACCAAGAATAAAAAGGATGAAGAAATGTAAATCTGTAAGCCAGAAAGAAGTTTAGAGCCTTTTGTAACTTTATAAACCGATGCCGGGTTGTGATAAAACCAATATACAAAAGAATGCATGAACCAGTGACGTCCATCAATAGTTTGACATCATTTGGCAAGTTAGTGACAATACCTGTTCAGAATTTGTCATTATGAAATCATAAATGTCTCTAGTTGGTGGTCATCAAATAGTATATAGTGACAGAATAATACAACTTGACTAGGGATGTCTGAAGTATTCAGTCAAATGGAAATAAATATCCAGAATCATGTTTATAAAATCCTGGCACACATTTTTTTTTAATTTGTCATCTCTGGAGAGATACGATGGCTATATATTATATTTGACAGAGATAAATTTTGGCAAAATTTTTTGAGATTATTCCAAATCAAAAGAAGTGTCAAAAATGAACTGTAGAACATGGATAAATAACAGATATGGTCAACCTTAGGTTAATTGGAACCAAGTGCCACATCCAACATTTTTGAGAGTAAAAGTTATGGATAGCAGAAAAGAGCTAAAACGACAAAAAATGTATGTAACATTTACATTTATGCATCTTAGTCGAAAAGTGAGATTTTTGACAACAGCAAGGAAAAATGTACTACAACAGAATATCTCCAATTGGCCAGAATTGAAATATGACTACACACAAACATAACAACAACCTGGACCTTAATGTGGTTTTGGGTGGAATGGAATTTAGTGCAAAATGCACAGAACATCATAGTTAGTGTATTTTGAAGTTTGATTATGACATAAACAACGCAAAACACAAGTCAGTATTGTCATGATGATACAAAGAAATTAGTTTAACTCATGTTAAAATGTATGATTACCAAAAATTTTATAATACATTTTGATTTCCAAGTTATCCCACATAAGACAAAATTAGTAACATCTTCAAAAATGAATTCGTGTCAAAGGATCAATAGCTTCTTTAATATAGATAAAAATATTTTAAAAAATTCTGAGTATCTCTACATTGAACTATCACTATCCCTGCCCCAAAATATTTGAAAACTCTGTTAACAAATTAAAAAATAGCTCTATATCAGATGAAATACTAAACAAATATGAGTACAGAAAATTAACCAAGAAAACACACACAAGAGTAAAATAAGAACTCTATCTTAAAGCTTAAAATTTTACCATTGTGACCACAAAATTTTACATTTGTGAAGTATATCATTCTGACAAAAAAAAATTCCAATGAAAAAGGTGATTGTTAAAAAGACTCACCATATTGCAACATGCATTATGTATACATTTGTAGCATACACCCATATATTTGAATAAATTTAAATTGTTCGTTACAATTAATTTATTACATTTCTTCAGTAAGAATTTATTTGAAATACTCATTAAACAATTCCATAAGGCTTTAATCATGTGATATGTGGGACTGGGAATGGTTAACCGGTTAATCGGTTACGATTTATTTTAACCGTTAACTGATATCTCACGCACAAATCATATTTTTAATGTAAAATTTTTTCAAAAATGTTAACGACATCGCAAATTTATCTCCTGCGGCGTTTAACTGAAAAGAATATCACTAACTGTATTAGTAAGGACCCAATAAATGTGAAAAATAAGTGAAGTACCAAGATTGCTGATTATGAAAATTTGACAATGATAAATTTTGTTTCAGTTTTCGATCGAAATATATTGTTCCCGATTTTATTGAGAAATCATATACTCAATTTCAGAGTGGACGTCGAACACTGAAAATTTGTCACATAAATGACATTTAATAACGGATTTAGGTTTTACTAAAATACTTTCATATGTCCGAAGCACGCTGCATTATCTCTTGTAGCAGAACGACCATCCGGGAATAATTATGAGCCAGCGATACTGTGATAAGATCACACAAAATTGCTTTTTGGCCATTGTGACGTAGCAATCTAAAATTAATACGTCAAACATCACGCTGCGATTATCCGGTTAATTTTACCCAGTAAACAGTTAAATTGTTTTCCCTGAAATTCCCAGCCCTGGTAATATGGTATTTAGCATATCAGTAATATGGGACAATTATGACTGAAAAGTGTATTAGAAAAGATTAGTGTAGAATAATGGTCAAATATGGGTTGTTTATCACCATAATATGAGAACAAAAATCTGTTCACCTTTGCAATCTTTAACCTTTTTAAAATATCTTGGGCTGTTTTCATCGTCTCAATTTAATTGAGTATTCTGGAAGAACCAAACTATTGGGACGGTAAAGTTACCATATGTTTTAGTGTAGAATAGGTACTTTCACGACTGAATTTTGATTCGAAATTAGGAGGGGAGGTATTATGTATCGGCAGAACCCCAAAAGTTTGAATAACAATTTTCAAATTTTGACTTTCACACATCCATACTTCATCAATATGTTGAAAGTATTCAGTAAACCACATTCCTATGAATGTGGCACTTGGTGAAAATCAGCAAAAAAATGTAACTTTCAGATGTGGCGGAAGAATTATGATCCACATAAATCCATATGAATTAGATACATTTTCTGGTGAGAACAAAACAGATATGAAAAGCATTTAAAAACAAAAGTCATAGGTTATGATGATGTACCCAGACGTCACACTTCCAGTATCAGCTAATTAGTCGATATGGTATTAATATAAAAGCTATTTAAAAATGTTCAGTACCAACAAAAGCACTGAAAAAGTCTTGTTTGTACGATAATAAAAATGATTCTTTCGCCATTCAATGACAGAAAGTGTTTGTTGTTATTGTTTTATAATGTATCAAAGTATTATGTAGTATAGTTTTTGTTCTAACCCAGATAAAATCTATCATTCGTGCTCATCATGATCGGCCAAGCATGGCATACATACACAATTTCACCAGTGAGTACTCATGGGGAAATAAATTTGCTTTGGCATACGTTGGGCGTTGGCTGACGATTTGAACGTTCATGAGCAAATCAATTTATTCAAATCTTTCTTTGTGAATTTTTCCAATCAAAATAAAAGGCTTATTATAAAAATGCTCCTGAGTACATGCGGTATAGGATTCAAGATGGTATGTGCATTTTGTAAAACATTGTTAACACACTGTTAAAAAGAAATAGAGATTTAGCGTCACCTAAAACAAGGACCCTGTTTATTTATATATATTTTGGATAAAAATCATTGATTAGTGGATTTTAGTCAGTTTAACATAAATTCAATTATGTATGAATGCATGCTCGGCCGAAACATAATATGGTGTATCGATGGCAACGATAAATTTGTAAATGGGAATAAAAAAATCTCAGTCCGACAGCATTGTCGATGTAGAAGAGGTCACAATTCCATAGTTTCTGTGCCATCCTCTGAAAAATCACTCATTGAAGATTCATCATCGGAGTCGCTAGATTCACTGCTCCCACCGGCACAATTTCCTTTTCTTTTTTTGTTTTTTTTTTCTTGTTCTTTCAACGCATCCTCAGTTGCGTATCGTTTCACATAATCTAGGATAAAACCAAACAAACTTCAAGAACAAAAGGCATCCTGCTACAAGAAGTATTTATATTTTTTATAAATACAAGTTTGCCTAAGATATGTCCTTCGCCTTCAAAAAAAGAAATCTAATAGAAGAGTTTTATTACCACTAATATGCTTAGATGGAGCTGAAGCATAGATTTATCGCCACAACAGGAGTGTCAGTGGCTAACGGTTGATTCCAGACTGGAAACATTTCAAGGTTACACTTTTAGAAATACAGATGGAAAGAGTGAATTCCAAAAAATGAAGGTATTCAAAAAAAAACGATCCAATAATTTGGTATTTTAGGATTGGTAGCCTATTCAGTGTAGGAGTTTTGAGAAAATCCAAATATTTATATAAAATTAAATTATAGTTGTAGCAAAACCACGAGAGAATAAATACCACTTCATAAAATTTCAAACATCAATAACATATTCTTAGAGATGTGTAATATCTCATATTCTAAATCCAGTCTTTTTCAAAATACATTAATAAAATTTCTTCATAGCAGACACTGTCATTATCCATTACTCAAATATCAACTATGTATCTAGCCTATATATCTTAGAAAGATAGGTTGACAGCTGATGGAAATTCATATAAAAATATAGCATTGAAAAAAACAAATAATACCTTTAATTTTCTTCTCATAATCTTGTGGTTTGTGTAAATATAAAGCAGCTGCATCTCCATTCAGTGGGTCAACAGGATTTGGATATGTTAGCAACTGAGGTAAAAATGTCTCAAAAATATTGGCTAAGTCTGAAAATTAAATTTATAATCATAGCATTCATCTGAAGGACATTAACAAGAAGTGTTAAGTTAAAAAACTCTTCAATAAATGCTAGGAAGTTCAGTTATATCAATAAATAAACTGAAATACCGTAAATTATGAAACTAAAAGTGCAAGTTACAAGTAACTTAAGCTGAACCACCATGAGATAATTTTTAGGCCGGTTATTGAACCAGAATTGTTATGAAACTTATATGCTTGAATATAACGTCAGCAAAAGTAAAGACTCGAAACAAGGAAATGAGTTTTTGATCAGACATCAGGTAAGAAAACATTCAAAAATCAGAAAGGTTGTAACCCAGAACCCAATGCTTTAGATCAGCGATCGACAACAGGCGGTTCCGAAGCCACATGCGGCTCTTGTTAGCGGAGTTCTGGCTCACATGAATCAAAGTGGTTACAGTAGTTTTTAGTTAAAAGCAGTAGGTATTATAAAATAGCATAATTGCACATCACAGCGATTCCCAAAGTAGAAGTCGTGAGTTAAATAATGGGTCGCATTAAGACAATTCAAGTCAAAACAAACTTTCTTTTTCATTTCGTTTCGTTAATTATTGCATCATCCATATTTCATATGACTTCTTCTTGGCAAGAACTAGATTATTGCATCATAAGTGGTTTTCCGAAAGTTTTAATACCCACTGACAGTGAATGTTGCAGCTCTCAGTAAGTTTGAGTTGAAAAAGATACCAAATGGCTCCTCCAATGCTAAAGGCTGCCGCGCCCATCGCAGGTCCGCAGGAAAGATTACTACCGGTCCGCAGAAAGATTACACAAAATCGGATAATGTCCCAAAAACACCTCTACAATCTAACAACAACGAATCCTTACGATTAAAATTTGAAATGATAAGAAATTGAAAAGCGTATTTGCGATATATATCTTGGCAGTCTTTTGGTCGATACTCTTAGATAAATATTCAGACATTGCAAGAGAAGCTTCACAGACAGTGTTACCTTTTTTATGCGAGGTCGGGTTTTCAATATTCACAATTACAACAACAAAAACGAAATACCCAAATAGGGTGGACGTAAGAAACTCGTTACGTGTATCACTGTCAACCATATCTCCAAATTGGGAACAGTTAATGGCCAAAAAACAAAGACAGATCTTGGATTAAATAGCATCACCAGTACCCCTGTTTTTGAAGATATTTTCAACATAAATTTTCTAACGCGTATAATTTACTACATAAGCTTAGCTCGTTTGTATAAGGGTGGTCCGCCAAAATTTTGGTCAGGCTTTACCAGTCCGTCACTTAGAAAATGTTGCCGACCACTGCGACCACGACGATACGTCAATGGCCAAAATTATTCAAAAATAGTCTCAACAGAAGGAACAAGAAAGAGAGAAGATTTAAATACAAGGCAAATTTGGACCATGTCGAACTAAATTCTGGGATAGTTTCTCTGCAATCTTTTCATCTGTATATACCTATATTTGGTTTATTGTTTATAATATATAAATTGTCATATTCCTGCTAGTTCTGTTTCACTTACCATAAAGAGCAGTCCATGTTTGATTAATAACATCCAAGCACACTGTTCCAGATCTAAATGAATAGAAAATGATAACAAGATTAGAATGTGCCATTCCAAAATACTTTAATTCAAAACTTGACACAGCATAAAAGCATTCTTCAATTTTGAATGGGAATTACAGTCGTATTTTAATCAAAAACAGAAAACAAACCAAGGAAAGATTTGACTCAAGACTTCTGATGAATTTTAAATTAAAAACTATCCCTTCAATACACAAATGTTTGTCTATTTATGAGTGTGAGTCAACATAATAATGGGATTTTGGTTTTTAAGCTTCTGATGACAAATCAGCAATAATATATGGGTATAATCAGAAATTTCGCTGAATCATACCAGGACGGCATTTCAAAAAGAAAATAGTAAATCGCCAAATTTTTTCATTTCAATAGGGATTTTTTGGATGACATACCGGTAAATATACATGCTCATATATGCAAGCCAGAATTTTTTTCTGACAGCTTTGGCAGGAATTCTTGTCTTGTTAGACTTACGGGTGTTGACTTGAATTAATTCAAGTCAGAATTTAATGGCAACACTGTCAAAGAAATAAATATGCACAATGCCATGAAAAGAGTGGGGATTCCACACTTGCGATGATTGACCACCAGAGACCTCATGTCAGGGGAGAGCAACATTTTTTGTCGGTGGGTCATATCTAGCTTGGCCACATGAAAAGATTTAGTTTTAACATGTACACAACATATTAAGAGTAATTAAGGCACCGTTGTATTGTATTGTTAGAGCCTTTTTAAACGTAGTAAACTGTCGGATTATTATTTTATACTTGTTGGGAAAAAATTAAGTGTTGAAAAGGGCCACATTAAATAGCTTGGTGGGCGGGGTTGCGGCCTGGCCTGCAGGCGGTCTGTTGCACACCTCTGCCCTAGGAACTCATACTCCTGGTTAAACAGTGAAACATGTGAGTATGATACACTGTTTTACATATGTAAGGTATCCAAAGCCTACCCAATTTTTCAAGGGAATAATTTTTGTACTTTCGTTCCCATGTTTTATCCTAGAGTGGAGTCCTAGACTGTAATTAGATGTACAATCACAAATAAAATTGATAAACAGTCACTGTATACTAATTACTAATAAGACATATTTTGACTGGATTATTCGTGGATGGGGAAAACTTACGCTTCATCAATGTTTGGATGGAAGATCTTGTTGAGGAATCCTAAAAAAAGTGTAAATTCAAAGTTAAAAATGTGCATATACATCAATAGTCATTAATAAAATTAAATACTGATAAATTTGGTTTCTTCATTTTGAAATAGTTCAGTGTTCTAAAATCCATCTCTATACTTAAGATTTTTTCAAAATTATTCAATAGACTCTGCCTTTTATAATAGTTTGATAAATGAATTCAATGACAATGTGAAGTGTTCAATATTAAAATCAATATGATTGATAAAGAAAATTAATATAACACTCGACTATAGAACATAAAGATGAAATGGATCAATATTATGTGTTGATCAAAGGCAAATGCACAGTTTACTTCCACTGATTTAGAAATTACTCTTTGATGATATCACCTTAGCCGTATTGTCTTCATGATGCCATCATTACAGGGATATCTTATAACCAATTTTAGTGGTGCTCACTAATATTTTCAGAAAGGGAGTAAGTACTTGGGTATGAGGAATACAGTTGCCATCGCATCTATGATTACCCTGCGTAGGCTCACAGGATTGAATCCTGTGGTAGATAATTATGTGGAGGTGATTGCTGGACTCCTCACTGCCATAGGGTGGTTCCTGGAACCAACCACTGGTCGGTTACGGCTATTCCACCATCAATCAAGTCCATGCATCGGAAACAAATACCTAGCTAACTAATCCCATACCAGACATGGACTGGTAACGGATGAGGATGGCATTAATTGGGCTGCCTTATCAGCTTTCCTGTTCCCGGGGATAAAATGATATCTTATCGTAATAACAAATTCAACTGAACTATGCGTAGTACGGTATAACACATTGATCACAAAACTTAATATTTTTGTTCATCGAACCGTTCCGATATACACATTTTCGCAAGGTAATCACTTATTTAATGAACTTTAGAAATCAAAATAAACAGTATAAAAACTCAAAACTGTGTGAAAAGTCAGATGAAAAAACAGGACGATATGTATTTAATGCTTTAGTTTTCAATTTACATCCTCTTTTGAAGACTCTTTTGAAAAGTTTTCTCAACATAGTCTTATGTTCCTATTACCTATTGAAGGTGACTTGAATGGATATTTTTCAGGTAGATCAACTCGAACTTTCCATATTCCACCTTCATATGGAGCTGGAAAATGAAAGATAGAAATTTTAAGAGTGCTTTCTCTAATTTGCCACCAAGTTCATACCCAGATTGGGAAGTGATATGAAAACAATCCGCTACCCAGATGTGGATATTTTTGATTGTTTACCCAACAAAAACAGTAAATTTACAGCTTTTTTTCTTAGTCCCGATTATATTGATTATGACTACTCTTTGTCACTCAGATTCATTATATATTCAAAGCCTACACTGTTAGAATCAGAATGAAATCTAGTTTTGTGCCAAATATAATCAGTATTTCTATAAACCAAGCCTGGGGCATTGAAAGAAATATCCTACCAAGGTCCAGTTAATCTAAGGCTCGTGTTTATCAAAGTAACTACATAAGCTCTAGTTATGGAATAATAATAAACATACTTCCAGGTGGGCCACAAAATTTCACCACAAACTCATTAAGTCCTCCCAGTACAGTCACTTCGTGATTGCTTTCAATGCTGTTAATTGGTTTCATGTAGTTAAGGAAATGATGCTCATATAAAGAGGATCGATCAATATGTCATGGAATGTTATTTTACCAACAAAAAGAAATGGTATATGTCCATCTAATATTTTTCATTGAACTAAACTGCTCATGGTAAATATTATTTGCTTCAATATTTATTATTTTAACCATTCAATACATTGTGTAGTTTAATAGAATAGGATATTTACTTCATCTCAACAGAGTTCTACTATACAGCTCATCTCTTAAGCGTTATTGTTTTAAAAAAAACAGGGATTTCTTTCAGTTGTGAATATAAAATTCATGTTTTGAAATGACTGGATAATTGTGACATCATAAAGCTATGTTGAAATCATTTAATAATTTATATATATATTTTTTTAAATTGGGTATAATTATGAGTGTCAAATAAAATACTAAAAACCATTCCAGTTCCATTTAGAACCTTTCTGCAATGTTCGACTTCAAAATAGCTAAAACATGTTTGCCATCCCTAGACTAAATACAACCATGTGACAAGATTTTTATAATCAAATTTAACAAGGGCGACAAAGAAAGATTAATTACCACGCCTGTATAACAGCTGTTACTCTTTATTGATCTCAGCTTTTATTAATCATAACATGCTTAATATATTATTTTAATAAATGGTATTTAAGATCAAGACAAGTAAAATAGAAATTTAAATGGTATAAAGACCTAGGTGTGTGTGTCAAGCAACGTTTCCTCTGGTTCTAATCAGGGATTAATTATGTCCAGCAATGCCTATTTGTCAAATTCTTGAAATTGGAAATATTTACATGCCTTTTTGGAATTGTTTGATATTCAAGTTCAATGATATTTTTTTTGTTTTTATACAGCAAAGTTGTATGTGAAAATTACTTCATAATATTATGACTTTTTTGTAACTGAAAAAAAATATCTGAGAACTCAGTATTTCTAAAAAAATTATTAGGTCTATCATATTTTGTCTTGTAATATTATATCATTATTGCCCAGGTAAAATTTCTCTGATATATTGATCTATCATTGAAAGAATAACTGATGATTGGTTAATGTTCAAAAAATCAATATTCTTCTTAGTGGTAAATTCTGATCATATGACAAGGTGAGGGTCATAACATCTACTATCTAATAACAACCATGAATCAAACGAGAGTCAATATAAATACATGTAATTAAAGTAACTTTGGACCAGTTTATCAAGTCGTAAATAATAGTTTTTAAAACATCTGCTCCATTTGTTCAAACTAAACATGTAAGAGCAGAACCATATACAAAGGCTAAAAACAAAATAAATATGTGATTATATTTGAAATAGGTTACCGGTACATGTTTTCAATCAGTATAAAAAAGGGAATTTCATAAAATATTTCAAACTAGTTTTTTTAATTGAATATGGGGATATATTGAACATAATTTTAGATCGCCTTTTCTGGATTTTGAAAATTTTTTTTAACGATTAATGAGACTTATAGAAGATTAAAATCAGTTTAAAGATTATCTAGCTTTTGTTCACCGCACATTAATAACGTTGAGTCTCAATTAGGATACAATAAATTGTTAATAAATTCTCCACTTGGCCTTGGATGATTTAGATTAAAACCCATACTCAATGATTACAAGTATTTTTTAAATCATAATCAGACTAGCCCCATGTACAGAGGACACCGACTTTTGTTGAAGTGTAGAGTTTGCTCCTAATGAAGCTGTAAGGGCCATACCATGAGATGCCAGCATCCACTAGTGCTACGTATATTGTTGCTTGATATCATAAGTTAGTAGTTGCTAATTGGCACTCTATTTTTACAGCATGAAAGATTACATCTACATGCATATTTGTTTACAGTCACTTCCGACAAAAAGATGCTGAATTTAATTTCAGGTGAATTCGACTGAACTAAATTAAAAAATGAAAATCCAACAAAGCCTAAACAAATAATAGAATGCAATACATTTCGGGCTATGCTGAACTTGATTTATTAGCCAAATCAATTGATCAATTGGAATTATTTTTATTATCAAATGCAATGCTGGAATGAAATGTATAACCTTCAAATATAAAACACGGAACACAATAAAAAAATGCAAAAAATTTTCAAATTATTTTAAATAAAAGGATACAGTTTTATAACATCAGTGTCCATACGACGTTTGCCAGGGCTTGGTGAAGACATGGCTGCCGTCAATCAATTGAGTGGTACGAAGATTTTCTTTTCTCAATTGCGAGTTCTTCAGTCTCTTTATACAATGCACTTTTTTTCACAAATTGTTGTCAAGACAATGAGAATATTTTATTAGCAACAAGACAATGTTTGCTGAATATGTTGTCAAATACCTGTGAAAATCTAAAGGTTTTTCTGATTTATTAGATAAGTATTAAAATAAAATTATTTCAAATTTTTTGAAATATATCGGCAAAACAGAATGTACCAGTTCCAGTATATACGAAATCAATGAATAATTGTTTGAATATGAATAGCACCAAACCAGGGCTTCAAATAAACTCAACTATAATGCATTGTCATCATGGTGTAAATATCCATAGTATGTGGATTTGGCCACTACAATTACACAGATATAACAGTATGACTTATGATGACACTATGACAGAGCCACATGTTTGGATCTCTTTATGTTGTTATGTAAATGAAGGGGGTTCTCAATTATTGCAGAGTGCATCATGCAATTCCTGATCAGCAACAGCTTTCTGAATTATTTATGCCAAAAAATCTGGAATTGAAACATTGAACTACAGAATCTTATGACAGTATGACTTGTTCCATGGCTCGCAAATCCATAGCTGTCAAAGGCAAATAAAAAATGCAAGATGCTTTCATGCTTAAAGCTTTCTCTCTGCTTTCACAAGTTATATTCTTGTATTTCAAAAATCCTTTATTTTCGTTTACAACTTCTGAACTTACTGCAGTACTGCAGTACTGACACATGAAAATACAGAAACATAGCAACTTTCTGACTTTGCTCTCACTACAGCACTTTATCACCATTTTACATATACAGAACTTTTTTGACTACAATAATATTACAGAATTATGGCAGAGTATAAGAATACAAGGAGTATGGTGCCATATTCCTGTATTCATATTCAGATATTTCTGTATTTCCAGCATTGTCTGACAGTTCATGAACAAAATTACATAAATCTGTAAATTGCATAGGTATGTACCAATAATGTTATATCCATGTATTCAAATAGGTGTCAGAATATTCATCATTGACAGTATTGCACGAAACAGCTGACACCCAGACTCTGCAGCAGGGTGGGAATGATTTTTTTTATTGTTGTGATTTTTCATCAACGCCCTTTTCTTGTTGTCCTACCGAAGACGATTCGCAATCGCAATTACTGTGTTTACAAATCAACAACTATAATAATGGTGTTAACAACTAGATGTTGCATTTCTCTACTGAACAACATACCGACAAAACATTTGATACCGATACGAACAACGCGAACGGACGCAACAACGTTCACAAACAAAGGACATCGAGAACGAAGTAGAATATTATTGTTTTGGTGAGGTCGCGGGGTCATAGAAATCAGCTGATGATGTAGCGTTGCAGTGACGTCAAAGGTGTGCAACGTGTTGGAACCTCAAATGTTGCTAATCAAACTGGAAAATGGCCTGTACCGACTATTATGGAGAAATATGAATATATATTAAATAATAATAACAACATATGAGAGTTGACCATCCCCTTGTTAAGGTTCTGTCAAGCCAAGTCAAGTTTATTTTATCCAGCCAGTAAAAAAACCATAACATACAATATTAAAAAAGAGCTAATCATATAATTTTACTGTGGGAGGGTAGCCGCGGGTAATGCAGTCTTGATGTCCGCAGAGACAAACATTTTAGATCAAAAGCGTAGATCATAAAAATATGGGTAAGAAATTCTACACCTGAATAAGGATGACTCATTTTAGTTCGGTGCATATCAAAACATATTATATTATTGTTTTGGAAATCTCAAAATAAATTTATTTGAACACATCATGACATGAAACGATGCAATGTTATGTAGCCTAGTTAAAAACTAGGTTGCTTATACATTTTTTTCTGAAAATGCGAGCTACAGGTTATATAATTTTTTCAGTAGCGTAAGAGCCTAACTGACATAATCTTTTTTCTCGCGAGCATTGCAGACGCTTTTCTACATAACTGCTATAATGATTACCACCATCTGGAATACTTGTCATTAGTGCTGTCAAGTTCGCCTAACAGAGTAAGAACTCTTACAATTTAGATATGAGTTTGGTTACGATGGAAACACTATATTCGCCAACACAACCGACAAGAAGTCCAATATGCACATGCCAGTGCCAAGTGTGCACGACTGGAGAAGAAACCACAAAAATTCAAACTGATCCAAAATTATGGTGAAGGTAATGGGAAACAAGAAGTTAGAAATACAAGAGAGCTATGCTCAAATATATGGACACGTAGAGTCACATAATTTTGATGACGTCATAGCAAAAAAAAAAGTAATAGCCTCCTGGAGAAAATTTTTATCTTTAACCACTGAAAATTTCAAAGCAATTGGTCCAGTATTCAAAGAGAAAAGCGACTTTTTAAAAACGTGTCAAAGAACAAGAACAACAACAACATAATATTGAAACGATCGTTATGTCCACTACGTGTCCAATAAGTTGATCACCCAAAAGGTAGAAGTCAAATTGAATGATGATGAATCAAACATTGACTGTCACTTCTAGAATAAAAAAGGTTCAGACGCCTACCATTGATGAATTATACCACCAATTCATCTGCGAGACTTTATCAACTACAAAATGTTTGGTTCGCTTTTGTTCGAGTGCTAATTGAGTGTCTTGTCTGCCTTGAAGCTTGGTTATCAACTCTTTCCGATGTACGATACAGGTAATATGTATCTAGAAACTAGAAAAAGCAAACATTGAAAGGTAGTGGAGTTTTGCCCAGTACCATAGGTTTCTAATCTTTCTACCTCGGCGAACCGGTAATAATAATAAAAAATGACTTCGGGGACAAGCAACATGAATTGAAATATTAAATCATTACATATGTTTCATTAAATATACATTTTCAATTAATATGGGCAAAACAGCTACCGGTCTCACTCTCATCTTGTTGAAGCATTTTTTGATATTTTACTTTGTTGTCGTGTTGTTAATGACTGCTTAAAGCGTTTCGAAATTAATGCAAATGTCTATCAACTTTTGTTACAAAGTTTATGCTTACAGATAAAAATGTTTGACCCACTATTCTCCTTAACGAGTACCGACTTGTTTTCACTATAGTGAATCGATCATTCTAAAACAAATTGTGTAAAATCATAGGTCCATCAAATATCAACAAAATGAAATATAAATGAATGAATGAATGAAAAATAAACACTTAGATAGCGTCCGTAGCGACGGAAGTTTGCTCAAAATCAAAATTCATCCAAAGTATTAAAAGGTGCACGCTTTCACACCCGTTCATTTTTTACGTTTTATACCAAGGCATGTGAAGTGACAAATTTATTCTCTTCTGGACCTCTGGGAGTTTTTTTTATTGTTATTTCTCCTCAAATCAGATTACCAATCCTATCTTTCAAACCATGTCTTTTTTATTGTTTAGTCAGTCAGTCAGTAGTTTATTTTTCATCAAAATGAAAATGCACTCACAGTGAACATAAACTTTAAGTTGGTTATCGAGCAGCGACACCTGTGATAAGAGTCTAACTTTGATACAAGTTTAATAAAAATAAGACGAACAATATATATATAAATTAATATATCAAATATTAAAGTCCAAAAACCAAATTTGTTACAAAAAAGAGACTCCGGACACTGTCAAGTACGGGAGGGGTAACCATGTGCAGCGAACAGCATAGCAACGACCAAAGTGAATGTCCCCTTGGCACAGTGACAGCAGGCTGGCCTGGCTGGGTACAGTCATACTGGAAAATCCGACGACGTTTAGGTACCAGTTTTTAAGGGTGCACGCTCTATATAAAAACAATGCACACTTTTCTATAACATCTATCATGCGACACTCCTTGATTAAATTTGGAGACAATATATTAGTCTTTGTTCTTATTTATAGGAGTATTTGAGTTTACTTTCTATCAAACGCAAATTTGGGTCGAGTATTTGAGATGAATGATTTGGCAATATTTTTTCCGATTTTGAATGTAAATTTTAATCAGTATTCGGGGTAACAAGTAATATTCTAATCTGTTGTCAAGTACTTCAATACTCTTAGTCCGGCAAAATCGTGGCCGAAGCTCGTTTTGAGACATAAAGTTTTTTTTTATTGTTCAGATATAATGTCGATGACATAAATAGTGATACCCAGGTGGGCGTGGAGTATATAAAGTTGGGTAATTTTTTTTAAGTGATTTTTAGGGCGCTCTAGAAGTATTCGTACCAAGATTACGCACATCCTGAACTCTGACATGGTGCATATACAATGTTCAGATTGTGCGCTATCTTGATGCAAATACTTCGGGAGCACCTTTTTGTTAACATAAACAATTATTTATAACACAATGTTCATGTTATGCGCCATCTTGGTAGGAATACTTCGGGAGCACCTTTATGGTAATATAAACCAGCGGCTCCCAAAGTGGGCGGAAACGCCCCCTTGTGTGCGTTTTCCATAACTTGGGGGCGCTTATGGCGATTTGGGCAATTAGGGGCGCTGACATCGGAACGGGAACTCACGAGTAGTATGATATTTCATGCCATTTACTCCTATGTTTTGGTTCAAACTAGTTTACTTGTGATTTCGGTGTTGGAAATTTCTCGCTCAACGTAGAATAGGTATTATGATTTTTTTAAAATCTGTATTGTTTCACAATGAATCAATAATACATGGCGCATACAGCATACGCTTCATCCACCATGCACTGCACGTTTCGTTTTACTGTTTTGAATAACAGCTTCATTTTACTAGCGGGTTCTATGATGCTTTGAAGCGGGTAGTGTAAGTACAACACCCTTATGTTATAATTTAGTTTTGTTAGGAGCAAAATGTGAGAGCTGAGTATCTGATAGAACTGACGTGCGCCAATATCAGGACCTATCTCCATGTGCGACTCAACCTGGTTCATTTTCATTTCTTGGTCACTTTGAATAATAAGGCTACATATGTAATTCATAAATTGGCAAAAGGCAAAAATTTAGCCTGTTTGTTATATCATGGTTGTGTCTGACATTGTTTAAAGTCGGTTTATCATTTGTGTTGCGTAAGTTTAAAATATCGAATACAGTGACATAAGCAGCATATTTAACCGAATTATATTAAAAACAGTATTATACCAGCGTGGTCCTCAAAAAACGAGACCATCATTTTCTCGATTACTTATACGAAAAATGGAGTGAATTATTTAATCTTGTCTAAAACTTCAACTTCTGGCTTGCGTATGTTTGTTACCCAAAAGTCTCGGAAAATCTAGGACGTTTTGCACAAAAATTATGTTGTTTTCCTTGAATATGTTCCAAATGCCCTACTCGGCAATTGCATTCTTTTTGCAACATTGTCAATCACTCTTCTTTGAGTATTTATTCATTTTATTCCTGCAATCGCAGCCTTGAGTTCACCAATCGTTTGAGGATTGTTCTGATAAAAATGTCTTTCGAACTTCCCTACATATCAAGTTCTAGGAGTTCAGTCCGGTAATTAAGGTGCCTACTGGATGTCACTGGTAACTTCTCTCGCAGGAAAGCAAGCGTCTGATTTGGATGTATGGGGTGTCGCCTCGTTATTCTTGAACACTGCTGGTCGCCTCTATCAATCCTTCAAGTAAATGTCCAGATTTTTCTCGGACACGTAATGTTCTGTATTTACCGTTGATTCTTCCCATTTCCATGTCTGACAGCAGAAGGTAAGCTTCAGCAGAAACTAAGTGATGGTGGAATTTTGCAAAACTATGAGTATAATCATACGCAAACAGAAGTTCAGGCACAATAAGATTGAATATATTTTTTTGGAGATGGTAAAGAAATTATTGGTTTCCGTTTTCTAGATAACCCTGAATTTCCAGAAGCGAAAATGCACCACTATCATTGAGTTTATACTTCCAAACTCATGTTAGTGTTCCATCTTTTTGGGAACAGAATCAAATTGAAATATCCTCACGAGTGAGATCGGGTTAACGTTTTTTATTGCTCTTGCCAGCTCATTCTTTGTAGAGCGAGTATTTAGTGCAGTGACCTGCACTTTTACTTATCAAGGGGAGATTTCCCTCGACAGTGTCAGAAGAGGAGACTCAGGAACTGTTTTTGACTGAAATGAAGCCAGCTATTAACAAGCTGGTGGCATTTCACTAAACTCAACCTTCACACTATATTAATGATAAATGGAGAATAAAATTGCTTTGACTTTTTTTGTTAGAGGGGCGTTTGCTAGTTGAAAAGTTGTCCAAAGGGGCGCTGGCTGAAAAAAATTTGGAAAACACAGATATAAACAATTATTTCAATTATTTTCACTACATGGGTCAGTTTTGAATAAATAGTAACATTGAATCTCCTTACAATGTCAGAAATTAAATTTTAGTAGAATAAATGATAGTTTATTTCACTAATATTATTTCACTGCTTAAATCTTCGTAACTTGGAAAATACTTTATTAATTGAAATAGATTGGAATATGTGACCTCGTCTTTCGCTTCGAACAAGGCCATATAAAACCATCCACTGGTATCTAACGATGTGTAACGTGTTTTCTTTTGGAAGAACCGGAACCTATCAGGCTCAGCATTGACTTTGGTCGGGGCGATGTGGACTAAAACACGTATGTGCCGAATTTAGACACTTTCTTTTGTGACAGATCAGAACCTGAAAAGTGTGATCACGTCGACTGAGACACCACAGTGCAGTTAATACCAAATTCGACGTAAATTCGTCTTTCTGGTGACTAAGCGGTAACGCGAGCAGAAAAAATAACAGATCAAGAATTCTCGCGTTTGGGAATCATTGCCATGGCCTAGGGCCCTGGACTGATCACAAGTTTTTATGAACAGACCGCAACGGATTGAGAAAGTCGTGGGTTTCGGCATGAAGTATACGACAGCATCATATGAACTCATCCCTTGCGGTGATGATAAAACGCCATGTTATGGATCAAGATATTACAGACAAATCCTTTGAAATTGTCTCTTTCAAAAGAGTAAACTACATTGTATGATCATTGTGTATAAATTATTACGCTTAGCCTTCACTTACTGTCCGACTATATATCATTTGGAAAAATATAGACCAGTGTTCCACAATGCAAAAACCACTTTCTATCATTGGTCTAAACCAGGGTCGTCCAACCCGTGGCCCGCGGGTCATTGAAAAAAAATTAAATAAAAAAAAAATTGAGTTAACCATTATCGAGTAATGTAGTAGCCTATGCAAAGTTGTAATACAAACAATTTTTTTTTCTGAAATGCGCTCTGCCAGCTCTTTCAAACGAGCCATGGGTGCCATTTGCAAGAATTAGCCTGTAAAGACTGCTGATTTGTAGAACTATTCGTTTGTCCCAAGCCATTCGGTTTATGTAAACATCACCAGATGCAACACACAGATACAAATTGTAGACTAACGATTTCTGAAGCGATTATTGTAGAAAGACAAGATCATAATTTAAGGTAAATAATTTTAATATAAGTTTATATCATTTCGTTCACAAAAATGGATAAATTTCAAGTCTCTTTTCTCGTCACAACACTTCATGGGCAAAATAGGCATCCACGGTGTATTATTAGTTTTATCAATATATATATATGTATATATATATATATATAACTACATACCGTATACATAACTACCGTATTAGATATATATATGTATATATATATATATCTAATACGGTAGTTATGTAGACACACCATGCTAAAATAGCGACAGTTATGTAGACGGAAAAATTGAGTCGACATTTTCCTGTCCACTTAATTATTACACCTTCCGTAACTAAATTTTTTGAGTTTTTTTTGCTGAAAGCTCTCTTTCTTTAAAAAAATAGTAATAAAAATATTGTGTTCCTCCAATATTTTTAATGTATCTGCATATTTCGCGAATTTTGAGCGGACGGTAGATCTGCTAGTTTATATTCGACGGGTATAATTTTCATACATTAAGTGGACATTTTGTTTATGCAAAAATCTTTTGATTTTCAGGTATATGTTTTTACGATTTTTTGAGTGTGGGTTTGATAATTTTGAGACGATAAACAAGCAAAATATGAAGGTCGTGCAGGCTGTATTTCGCATTTAAAGGGTGATAAACTGAAAAGGACCCTCATTTACAACTCCTTTTCAAAGCGGGCTTAGTGACGTAATAGGAAAACTATCGGAGACTAAACACGCTTGCAGGTTTTCTTTCGCACGTGGGGTGGATGCAAAGAGGGAATTAGTAACTTTATACGTGAATGAATGCAACCATTTAGCTTACAATAATCTGTTGTGTTGTTATAGAAGTGATTCGAGTCTTTTCTGCTACGTGTTATCAATTAGCCAGTGAGTTGACAGAAGGTCGAGTCATATCAAGCTTGCAATAATATTTTGGAAGTATCTTACACCGCAGAGATTCTGAACCTCATTATGAGGAAGGTTGCTGGTTATTGTCAGATTAGGTCACTATATTTATGCTGTTGAGATTTTTCATTCAATCCAGATTAGCAAAATATAGACTGTTGATCCTGTTATGTTTTTACTGGTCACAATTCTGACCATCAAAATAATGCTTCGACTGCAAAGCAAGCGAGGGAGAAAACCCATCGATGTTGCAAAGGAAAGTTGTTTGAAAAATTTGTCCACATCCGATTTTTCTGTAAAACTGGTGGATTCTGAAATTGGTATGTAAATAGGAAAAATTGAGTTAACTGAAAAATATCAATTATGAGTCGTTGATGTCATTAATGCTGTGACGTTTCCCTCAAATAATAACATCTGCAAACCTATGTGGCATATGTAATAAATGTTTATGATATGTTTAGGAACAACTTTATATCGTGGTCACGATGATCTAGGGATTTCGTTTGTAATAATCATCATGTTTTCACGAGGGCTGTTAAATTCGAAAATTATCAAAAAGTTATAAAATATTAATGAGCAACAACATCTCAATGTAAAATCTTCTTTTATCGTATTATAGGCAAAGGTCTTTTCGCTGAAAAATCATTCTGTCAGGGCGACTTTTTGTTAGAGTATAAAGGCAAAAGACTAGATGAAGATGACGGTCTAGCGACAGAGAGCATTTTCACTTATTTTTTTCAACACTCATCCAAAATATTCTGGTAAGAGCTCCTGTTTAATACAATCTGCTATCAAATTTTTAATAAATTGCCAATCATTTTTATGAGATTTGGGTAAACTTTGTTCTATTAGATTATTTTAATATTATATCATCTATGTATATCTTTCAACATTTAAACGGTTGTATTTGGAGGGCAATGGAAAAGTTATTAGTGCCTCATGAATATATATATACCTGTTTAGACTCCGTCTATGAAAATCCAAGTATAATTCACTAAATACGCTCTTTGTTAGTTATTCAAAACATGCATTCTGAGTTCTTACTGAATCACCCAAACTGAAATTCAGCATTATATTCACAAGATGGTGACTTGCTTAACCCGTGATTAATTTAGCATTGATGCCCAAGAAACTGACTGTATATGCAAATATGCAAATGATGATTGGAACAATCCGAACGCAACAATGAAGAAAATAGTAGTGGAAGATGTCCCTCACCTTTGCTTATTTGCTCGTCGAGACATCAACGTAGGAGACGAAATCCGATACGACTACAATTACCCAAACGCACCTTGGCGTAAAATAAAGTGGTCTATCGGCCAGAGTAAGTGAACTTTTTACGTTACGTAAAACCTGATTCAACGTTTAATGGGTTTGTTTTAAACAAAGATGCTGATCTATATAAAAAACTAGATTACAGTAGCCTAGTACAAACTACAGTGCAATCGTAAACAGAGAAGAGTGAAAACAACATATAATATATATACAGAAAGTTTTTATATTTATGCCCTTCCGAGCATTATTTGTAGAGTTTTTATTGCGCTTATAGATATTAGCAGCATTAGCTTTTAAAGAGAATTATGATTTCGCAGATTTGAGATACAAATTATTTGGCATGTCTAATCAGGTTTTAGTTACGAAGCAAATCATTGTCATTTACAAGGTTCTGCAGAAGATGCAGAAAGTACAGAAGATATTAACAATGTCGGTGTCGGGGAAATAGATTTATTTTTGACTGAAGAATTTGGAGATTTGTTGGCACCGCCTAATACAGGTTTCTGTGCTAGTATATTAAATGAAATTATAAGTATATAAGCATATAATTGTGAATTTTGTAAACAGAGAATAAGTGTCACTGAGGAAAAAAATCCTAGGTTCAACTGGTTCGAGTTTTAGTATTAATTTCCAAAATGTACATAGTCATAGAACTGACAGTGAAAATATTTCATAAATTTGGCTTAGCAAATGAATATGTAATGTACAGAAAGATTTTCGAACAGTGCAAACAACAGTAACGCAGAATAAAGCTATAATATTCTTGAATGTAATATTTATATCTGGTGTTTTAGTAACTTGGTTAATCTTGTAACATTCACAGAAAACAGCGACACCGGAATAAACAATATTTTATATCAAAATCAATCAGGTTGGTAATAAAACTATTTCAAGATTTCGGATTTCATTTGCAAGAGTGTGTAATTTACCAGAATTCCTAAATGCAGATAACAATACAAACGAAGAATTTGAAAATGCAATCGATTTATTTTTTCCTCGAGAAGTAGGAGATATCACATCCGATGGGTTGATGCCACATAGTATAGGTTTGTAAAGTTCAGTAAAAATATATTTTTTCTTTGAAGTATATAATAGAACGACTCTTATTACGATATTTTTTCATTCGGATTATTTGTGATCTGGCGCGTATCACCGTTTTATTTTATCATAATTATCCGGCTATTCTCTAGGCCTGGGTGAACAACATGGGGCGCATGCCAACGTTGGCACGCCATACGCTCAAACGTGGCACGCGAACGGTTTTGTAAAAAAAATCATTTATGATATACAATAAAATATCACGTTTATATCTAAATTAGTAGTTTTTTAGGACATTAAATTGTTTCAATAAATAGATATTCGTTATTATGTTATAATATTGAAATTTGTTTGATGTGTGTTCTACGGGAGGTAATTCACAGTAATAACGATTGTGCGTGGCACGTATTTTGAAAAATGTGGCACGTGTCCTCATTTGAGTTGTGTACCCCTGCTCTAGGCTGTATATGTGTTCTCATTTAGGTGATTCTCCCGCGAGATGGCCGACCCTTCAAAACTTAGCAGACGGAAATGCTGAAAGTGACTCCGCGGTTGCTGTGACAGGAGGTAACTAAATGTGTTTTTATGCTTGTTTATTGTTATTAACTCAGTAGCAAATAAATATCGATACATGGTACTAAACCAAATTATGACAATATATGTCCCCAATATAGAATAGCGCTGGTATCTGCGCATACTTGTCTAGAATTTCTAAAACTGTGCTTCACTGTCATGGTAGCATTGAAACTTTTAGGCATAAAATTAAAAAAATGATTATACAGAACTTTGATGTACGTTTTAGTGATAATGGACCACCCCATTTACTTTATCCTGTTATTTTAATGGTGGGAATTAATTGAATCACATCAAATTTATTTGACTAGACCAAAACACAATGATGATATTTTGTGACTAATGCATGTATTTTTATTAAAATTCTAGATGAGTCTACAGACTATGTCCCAGCATCTTCAGAGTCACTTTCAATAAGCGATTTGAGTGATTCTAAAGAAAACCATACAAATAACAAAGACGATAACGGTTGTAAATCGAAGCCAAAAAAGCTTTTGAATAAAGAAATGCAATCCAAAAAGGAAACAAACAGAAAAAGAGAATTCCACGGCCTTGCTTATTCTGCGGGAAATTTATTGTCAAACTTAAAAGACATTTGTCCACTATACATAAAGAGGAGCCGACAATATGCAAAATATTTTCGCTCCCCTTTGCAAAAAGGCAGCAAGAATTTGATATAATAAGAAAAAAGGGAATCTTCCAATATAACATGCAAATGTTAAAGGACCGTAAACCGTTAATAGCGGAAAGACACCAAGGCCGTGGCAGTATGAAAATTTGCACCAACTGTTCCGGCTTCTTCCAAAGAAAAACATTTCACAGACATCATCAGTTGTGTCGAAGCAAATTTGGTAGTCCTGCTTCTGCGACGGGTTTGTGCGTCGAATCCATGGTTTGTCATGGTGATGAAGCATTTGCTGACTTGCTCACACGATTTCAAAATGACGAAAAGGGAAATTTATGTAGACAGGATGAGTTAATAAAGACTGTCGGCCGAAGCCAATTTCAGAAACACCGAAAGAAAACTGAAAAGAAATCAGAATCGAGGAAGGCCGTAATGGCGAATATGAGATTGTTGGCATCCCTTTTTGTCGAATTCAAATCGTGTGCAACAAAACAAAATGTAAATGTATCGTCGGAGAATATGCTTCGACGCGAGTATTTTATGATTTTAGAAGAAGCCATACAAAATATTGCAACACACGAGGATGGTGCATTAAAATCGGGGTTAATGGTCAATATTGGAAATTTACTCAAAATGGCTGCCAAAGTAATGAAAGGAACCCACCTCATGAATTTGGATGACGAAAAAGCGGAACAAATAGAAAAGTTCGAAGCTGTTTTACAATTAAGATGGATACGAAATTTTGGCGATGCCGAATACCAGGTTGTAAAAAATAGACAATCTAAACTAAGATTGCCAAGTGAGCTACCTATTGAAAACGACGTGACACAGATTCGAAAGTACACCCTTGAAACGATGCAGCGAGAAGTCAGTGATGATTTGTCATTGTGGGGCCCCGAAAAATTCATAGTTGTCCGTAATTTGGTTATCTCCCGTTTAACGCTTTTTAATGCTAGGCGAGGAGGCGAGCCAAGTAGGTTGTTGGTGAGGCACTGGGAAGAGGCAAAAAGGGAACAATGGATCGATAAGCAACGTCGTTCAAAAGCAATTTCGCCGATGGACAAGTTTCTTATGGATAATTTTAAAGTAATATATCACGGTGGGAAAGGCATTTCTCATCTAGTCCCAGCACTTGTGCCGCCTGACTGTGTCGAAGCATTAGACGCGCTTTCAGATCCAGAGATACGGCAGCTATGCGATATAAACAATAAAAATGAATTCCTGTTTCCCAGTACACGCCATTCTATGGATCATGCCAGCGGCTGGCACTGTACAAAGGATGTCGCTACTGCTGCGGGAATAAAAACCAATATTACAGCTACACAAATGCGGCACAGAGCAGCAACTTTGTATGCCGAACTCGATGTACCCGAAAATTTCAGGGATGCTTTTTTTCGTCACATGGGACACTCCAAAGAAATAAACAAAAACGTTTATCAATGTCCACTGGCAGTACAAGAAATAACACAAGTCGGATCATACTTGGCTAATATAGATGGATTTTCACTTCCCCAAGGTGAGGCTAGCAATCATTTCGTTAGGCAAAATCTTATCCTAGCAATTTGTGTTTGATTCACTATAATTGCTATATGTGGATTTCATACTTAATCGAATTAGCTTCCCTTATTCACATTCTGTTGTTTCGATATACTATTGGATATGTTTTTCAGGTAATCTTCATAATATTGCACCAACACCTTCTGAAAAACATAGTATCTCTTCGTTCGAAGAAGGTGAAGAAGAATTCAGGGAAAGAGGTTTGTATTTCTGTATTTTACCATAACCATAATGTTATGATTTTGAGCTAGTATAGCAGGAATATTGCGTTTTGTTCCACAAACAATTAGAGTGTTAAATTTTCTCCTCAATTAATTTAACATTAATCTTGTTTTTTAGAAACTTCAATTTCTACGCAGTTGCAAAATACTACTCAATCATCATCCGGTACGTCCCTATGTGATGAAGAAATTATAGGAAAAAAACGAGGTTAGTGCTTTTGTTACACTTTTCAACACCTAAATAATTATTGAACTGCCATTATCTATTTTAGTAAGAAGATATACAAGATGGTCGCCTTCTGCCACGTCCAGTCTTTTGACCTTTTTCAAATCCTATATCGAGACACCTCATCTACAGGGTGCAAGGGCACTTTACCAGGTATCTTCATTTGATTTCAAACCTTTTTTGGATAAAGCTTCTAATTAAGTGGTTAATTTTAAATTTGCTAGCTATTTTTTAAGTTGAAGGGTGTTAAAATAGCTGGTTATTTAAAAAATTGTGCGTTAAAGCATGGTTTTAGGAGTAAGCATTTGAATTTTTCAAGCTGGCTAGTAAATCTAAATGTCCTCTCTGAAAAGTGAATGCGAAACGTTAAATTATACTTCCTTTTTCTGCAGGCCGGAAGATAATAAAAGAATTTCTAGAAAAGCATCATGATATTCTCGAAGGTCTATGCGAAAAAGAAAAAGTTTGTGCAACACACACAAAAGTCTTTAACGAACGAAATAAATTTAGACGAAAGTATGATGCCAGCTTAAAAGCTTTGACCGAATGAGCCTATTAAGTTGACTTGCAGTTTCTTTTTAATTAATGGTCGCGGTACCGAACCTGATTCTTTTATTTAAATCTTTTTATCAGCGAATGTGTCAGCGTTACATATTCATTGTGTCCATGTTTTTTTTTACTGTAGGGTATAGTTGACTGTATACTGTTTAGAGTTTTGTTTTAAAATTATAGGTTACACTAAACTTAGTCGAATAATTGGACATTTTAAATATCAATATGCTCCCAGAATTAACTCAATGTCACAATTATAGAGGTCAGATGGGTGATTTAGGATATATTTTGGTGTCGTTTCTCAATCTAATTTTAAAATTTCGTTTTTAATTATGTCGCACTCATGTTGTCAAATAGGTGGACATTTTGAAAATATTTTGTGCAATGTTTTTCAATGGGAGCGGTGTTCCAAATTTCATTGTTCAATTGCGTGTAACACTTAAAAGGCCGTATACGTATTTATTCTGATTCTCAAAATGCTTGGCATTCCATATTTTTGTTTGTTTATTATTTGGGTAGTGAATTAAGTGGTCAGATATGTGAACATTTAAGAAATATTTCTCAATATTATTAGAGAATTTCAGAATTCCGTTTTTTTATCATTTGCACACTTAAGTGGCAAGATAGGTTAACATTTGAGAAATTTATGTGTACTAATTCTCAATATGGCTCTGATATTTCGTATTTTTCATTTACCATATCATATTTCGTTTTTTATTATATGTCGATTCAAGTTGTCGGATAGGTGGACATTTGAGATATAGTATGACATACTATGTGTGTTCGGATTTTCAAAATGATTGGCATTTTGGATTTTCGTTTTTCAATTATATGTCGAGTAGGTCAGATAGGACATTTGAGATATATTTTGATTAGTGACTCCCAAAATAATTCGCATTTTGGATTTTCGTTTTTCAATTATATGTCGATTTAAGTGGACGGAGTGGTGGACATTTAAGATATATTTTCAATACTGATTCTCAAAATTATTGGCATTTTGGATTTTCGTTTTTCAATTATATGTCCATTTAAGTGAACGGATAGGTGGACATTTAAGATATACTTTGATTAGTGATTCTCAAAATTATTGGCATTCTGGATTTTCGTTTTTCAAATATATGTCGATTTAAGTGGACGGATAGGTGGACATTTAAGAGATATTTTCAATACTGATTCTCAAAATTATTGGCATTTTGGATTTTCGTTTTTCAATTATATGTCGATTTAAGTGGACGGATAGGTGGACATTTAAGATATATTTTGATTGATTCTCAAAATTATTGGCATTTTGGATTTTCGTTTTTCAATTATATGTCGATTTAAGTGGACGGATAGGTGGACATTTAAGATATATTTTGATTAGTGATTCTCAAAATTATTGGCATTTTGGATTTTCGTTTTTCAATCATTTGTCGATTTAAGTGGACGGATAGGTGGACATTTAAGATATACTTTGATTAGTGATTCTCAAAATTGTTGGCATTTTGGATTTTCGTTTTTCAATTATATGTCGATTTAAGTGGACGGATAGGGGACATTGAAGATATATTTTGATTAGTGATTTTCAAAATTATTGGCATTTTGGATTTTCATTTTTCAATTATATGTCGATTTAAGTGAACGGATAGGTGGACATTTAAGATATATTTTGATTAGTGATTCTCAAAATTATTGGCATTTTGGATTTTCGTTTTTCAATTATATGTCGATTTAAGTGACGGATAGGTGGACATTTAAGATATATTTTCATACTGATTCTTAAAATTATTGGCATTTTGATTTTTGTTTTTCAATTATGTCGATTTAAGTGACGGAGAGGTGGACATTTAAGATATATTTTCATACTGATTCTCAAAATTATTGGCATTTTGATTTTCGTTTTTCAATTATATGTCGATTTAAGTGACGGATAGGTGGACATTTAAGATATATTTTGATTAGTGATTCTCAAAATTATTGGCATTTTGGATTTTCGTTTTTCAATCATTTGTCGATTTAAGTGGACGGATAGGTGGACATTTAAGATATACTTTGATTAGTGATTCTCAAAATTGTTGGCATTTTGGATTTTCGTTTTTCAATCATTTGTCGATTTAGGTGGACATTTAAGATATACTTTGATTAGTGATTCTCAAAATTGTTGGCATTTTGGATTTTCGTTTTTCAATTATATGTCGATTTAAGTGGACGGATAGGTGGACATTTAAGATATATTTGATTAGTGATTCTCAAAATTGGCATTTTGGATTTTCGTTTTTCAATTATGTCGATTTAAGTGAACGGATACATGACATTTAAGATATATTTGATTAGTGATTCTCAAAATTATTGGCATTTTGGATTTTCGTTTTTCAATTATATATGTCGATTTAAGTGAACGGATAGGTGGACATTTAAGATATATTTTGATTAGTGATTCTCAAAATTATTGGCATTTTGGATTTTCGTTTTTCAATTATATGTCGATTTAAGTGAACGGATAGGACATTTAAGATATATTTTGATTAGTGATTCTCAAAATTATTGGCATTTGGATTTTCGTTTTTAAATATATGTCGATTTAAGTGAACGGATAGGTGGACATTTAAGATATATTTTATTAGTGATTCTCAAAATTATTGGCATTTTGGATTTTCGTTTTTCAATTATATCGATTTAAGTGAAAGGATAGGTGGACATTTAAGATATATTTTGATTAGTGATTCTCAAAATTGGCATTTTGGATTTTCGTTTTTCAATTAATGTCGATTTAAGTGAACGGATAGGTGGACATTTAAGATATATTTGATTAGTGATTCTCAAAATTTTGCATTTTGATTTTCGTTTTTCAATCATATGTCGATTTAAGTGAACGGATAGGTGGACATTTAGATATATTTGATTAGTGATTCTCAAAATTGTTGGCATTTTGGATTTTCGTTTTTCAATCATTGTCGATTTAAGTGGACGGATAGGTGGACATTTAAGATATACTTTATTAGTGATTCTCAAAATTGTTGGCATTTTGGATTTTCGTTTTTCAATTATGTCGATTTAAGTGGACGGATAGGTGGACATTTAAATATATTTTGATTAGTGATTCAAAATTATGGCATTTTGGATTTTCGTTTTTCAATTATGTCGATTTAAGTGAACGGATAGGGACATTTAAGATATATTTGATTAGTGATTCTCAAAATTATTGGCATTTTGGATTTTCGTTTTTCAATTATATGTCGATTTAAGTGACGGATAGATGGACATTTAAGATATATTTTGATAGTGATTCTCAAAATTATTGGCATTTTGGATTTTCGTTTTTCAATTATATGTCGATTTAAGTGAACGGATAGGTGGACATTTAAGATATATTTTGATTAGTGATTCTCAAATTATTGGCATTTGGATTTTCGTTTTCAATTATATGTCGATTTAAGTGAACGGATAGGACATTTAAGATATATTTTGAATACTGATTCTCAAAATCATTGCATTTTGATTTTCGTTTTTCAATTATATGTCGATTTAAGTGAACGGATAGGTGGACATTTAAGATATATTTTGATTACTGATTCTCAAAATGATTGGCATTTTGATTTTCGTTTTCAATTATATGTCGATTTAAGTGTCGGATAGATGGACATTTAGAATATAATATGTGTTCGATTCCCAAAATGATTGCATTTGATTTTCGTTTTTTAATTATATGTCGATTTAAGTGCACACATAGGTGGACATTTGAGATATATTTGAGTAGTTATTCTATTTTGGATTTTCGTTTTTCAAATATATGTCGATTTAAGTGCACACATAGGTGACATTTAAG